CAATGAAAATGTTTAGTGTATCTATTTAGCAGTCCCAATATAATTTTATCAAATAACTAATCGTTTTGGATGTATTTCAAGGGCCATTGTATTATCTCTACATTTTTTATGCTTTCTTTGGTTAATTTTAAACTTCCAGCAGTCACAGTTGACTGGATGGCAGTGAGATTTTGAGTACTACGTTCCACAAGGGACCCCTAGCGTTAGGAGACTTGTTCTAATCCAAAGGTCCGTAGTTCGAACCCACCAGCATGAGGATTTCTCCTCTCCTAAGATTTACAGCTTTGGAAACCCAAGGCACAGTTCTACCCCTTGAGTTACCATGAGTGAGAATTGACAGGATGGCAGTTGTATATTGTGTTTTATATTCCACTGATTGTTTTCTCACACACCCACCCACTTCGTGGCCTCTGGTCTGACTCAGTCACCTGATAGCACAGAGTAGAATGCCCAGAGGCTTCCTGAGGCTATAAATCTACATGGGAGCAGACTGTCTCCTCTTTCTCCCAAGGAGTGGTGGGTGTTAACAAGTGACCTTGAGGTTAGCAGCCAACACCTCACCACTTATTCCATTAGCGGTCCTTGTATCTGGCTCCAGCAAGATCTTATTTTAGTTGTTATATTTACTGCACCCATGTTCCTGTATCAATGACATGTGCTTTCATTCAATAGAGGTCTCCATTGTATTTTGATATCTTGCACTCCCAAACCAGTTTCATATTCCTCTTGAACGTTTTTCTTTAGCATTTGCAGCTTATCCTTCCAAGTGACCTTTAGAATTTTTTAGTAACTACAATAGGAAGGATTTTCGTTTTATGCGACGTCATTGTTGCTAACACATTTTCCAGCAGAGAAATCTCAGGCTTAGAGATGATCGTTTATTGAATAGCATCCACAGCAAGTGGAGGGACGGGGATCTTGGTGCAATCACACTAGAGCATGTGGGGAAGCTTGTAGTTGTTGTTGGCACATCTTGCTGTAAGGACCACTCCTTGTCAACTGTCCTCCTGTTTATAATGTTGATGTCTCATTCTACAAGCAGGTTTGTTCTTTGACATATATGAAGGTCAAATCACAGCCATCCTGGGTCACAGTGGATCTGGCAAATCTGCACTGCTGAACATTCTTAGTGGATTGTCTGTGCCCACAGAAGGTAAGTACCAGGAAATTCCCTGCAGGCAAGTTGTTCGATAATACAAGGAGCTCACGTGGAAGCCGATCATCTTTTTTTTTTTTAACATTTTATTAGGGGCTCATACAACTGTTATCACAATCCATACACACATCAATTGTGCAAAGCGCATTTGTACATCATTCTCAAAACATTTTCTCTCCACCCAAACCCCCGACACCAGGTCCTCATGTTTCCCCTCCCTTCCCGCTACCCCCTCCCTCATGAGCCCTTGATAGTTCACAAATAGTTGGTATTTTGTCATATCTTGCCCTGTCCGACGTCTCCCTTCACCCACTTTTCGGTTTTCTGTCCCCCAGGGAGGAGGTCACATACAGTTCCTTATAATCGGTTCCCTCTTTACTACCCATTCTCCCTTTACGCTCCCTGTCTCGCCACTCACACCACTGGTCCTGTAGGGCTCATCCGCCCTGGATTCCCTGGATTTTCAGCTCCTATCTGTACCAGTGTACATCCTCTGGTCCAGCCAGACCTGCAAGGTCGAATTTGAGTCATGGTAGTGGGAGCGGGGAGGAAACATTTAGAAACTAGAGGAGAGTTGTATTTCTCATTGTTGTTACATCACACCCTGACTGGCTCATCTCCTCCCCGAGACCCCTCTGCAAGGGGATCTCCAGTGGCCTACTAATGAGCTTTGGATCTCCACTCCGCACTCCCCCCATTATTCACTATGGTAAGATTTTTTGATCATCTTAAGCTTTTCATTCAAATGCTTAAATGTCAATACGGTGTATTTCCTATAATTACAGGATGTGAATGTGTTCCTCAAATGTGCATGAAGATCCTCAGTATCTTTATTATGTTGTTGTGTGCTATTCTCGGGGACATGTGCTCTCTAACCACTAACACTTAAGCCCGCAAACCCACTGCATCCTGTGGGGCCAACTGCCACATCTTCCCCCAGCCCAGTTGGAACCAGAGCCCTTTTGGTTAGCAGCTGGGTACTTGTTCCACTGCATGACCAGGGTCCCTCAGATTTATCATGCTTGTGCTTTGTGGCCTTTGAATCAGTTCCAATTCCATAGCGGCCCTGTGGATAACACAACCCAACCCTGCCCTGTCCCGTGCTAACCACACACAATTGCTTTTTATGCTGAGTTCATTGTTGCAGGCTTGATGTGTCAATCCATCTTGATCAGGGCCTTCCCCTTTTTTGCCGCCCCTCCACGGTACCAAGGATGGTGCCCTTTCCTAGGGACTGGTCTCTCCGGATGACATGTCCAAAGTAGGTGAGGCGCAGACTTGCCATCCTTGTCGCTAAGAAGCACTCCAGCTGTACTTCTTCCAAGATAAAACTGTTGGTTTGTTCTTTCGGGAGTCCATGGTACTTTCAGGATTCTTCAACCGCCAGAATAATCATCTTTATTAGTGGTTATTAAATTATGAAGTTGACATTTTAGATATTTGTTAATATGATATGTTAATCTTTGAGTCAGAATTGACTGGATAGCAGTAGATTTGGTTAATTGGTATGCTCTCTAAGTATTAATTAAACATACTATTTTGCTAATGCTAAATAGTTTTTAACTTCTCTTTTCAGGATCAGTTACCATCTATAACAGAAATCTCTCTGACATGGCAGAGCTGGAGGAAGTCCAAAAGATCACTGGAGTTTGTCCTCAATTCAATGTCCAAATTGACATGCTCACTGTGAAGGAAAATCTCAGGCTGTTTGCTAAAATCAAAGGGATTCAGCCACAAGAAGTGGAACCAGAGGTAGATGTCCACGCTTGGATTAAATTTAACTGCCCACCATTTACTGAGTTCATTCATAACCACAGACTCTCCTGCAGTTATTTACTTGCCTGGCTATGAATTAAATGGAGTCAAGGAGCTCTTAGCCCAAATAATTCTTGTTTTAATGGGTATTTAAAACTACACAGTAGAAACCATTTTCAATTTTGTATATATATTGACAGGTACAAAGAATTCTATTGGAATTGGACATGCAAAACATTCAGGATAGCATTGCTCAAAATTTAAGTGAAGGACAAAAACGAAAGCTGACCTTTGGAATTGCCATTTTAGGAGACCCTCGGGTAAGTGAGATGAGGCAAATTACCATTGAAAGCTCTTTTTATCACGGACAATATCAGGCTGCTCTTTGCAAAGCTTTCATTGTTTGTACCAACAGAAGATGAGACAAAAGACATATCTTAAAAGTGAGATGTGCTACAACAGAATGAAATCATATATATGGCCCTTATTTTAAATTTTAAACTTAACGGTAGAAGAGAAAATGGTTTTGCTTTTATCAAATGTTATAAGACAATTTACTAGGTTCTGCATAGAAACGGACCTGAATAACTATGCATAAGTCTACAGAGGATAAATGGCTGGTTAGTCATGATTATGGTGTAGGGGTTATGCCTTGGGCTTCTAACTTCAAGGTCAGCCATTTGAAACCACCATCCACGCCTCGAAAGAAAGATGGGGATTTCTACTCCCTAAAGAGTTAAGGGTTTCAGAAACTCACAGGGCCAGTTCGACCCTATCCTGTAGGGCTTCTATGAATTAAATCAACTCAATGGCCAGGAGTTTGTTTTTTGGGTATGTCACTGTTATGACTACTTGGTTATAACGGTTTCTGTGTAAGACAGACATCTCTAATATATCTTTATCCTCTGTAGATTTTACTATTAGATGAACCGACGGCTGGTTTGGATCCCTTCTCAAGACATCAAGTGTGGAACTTCCTGAAGGAGCGTAAATCGGACCACCTGATTCTCTTGAGTACCAGTTTCACTGATGAGGCGGACATCCTGGCTGGTCATTTCTGGTTTCATTTCAGCATTACAGTCAAGAATTTAGGACATTCAAAAGTCATGTCTATCCCCGGGGCAAGAGACCCATCCTCATTTCCCATTCCATCCCAGTCTGGTAGATACCAGGATTAGCCCCATAGTGGGCTTCTCCACAGGCTGTACCTTTAACTTATTATATACATTAATGAAAACATTATTGTTTGCTTTCAGGTCAACTATTGATTAACTTAAACATCTAAATTTTGTTCAATAGACCCACTCATGTAGTGGAAAACCACCCACTCATTCTTTAGCATCCAATATAAAGAATATGCCCATGCCACATTTTAAGGGAAATATGAGAGGGAATGGAACTAGATTGGCATTCATGAGTTCACATGAGTACATAAATTTGAATGTGGAATTAGACACAAGTAGAAGCAGTTATACCCCATGAAGCTCCAGTGGCATAGTGGGTTATGAGTTGGGCTGCTAACCTCAAGGTCAGTGGTTCAAATCTACTGCTACTATACGGGGTGGGGGGGTGGGGGTGGGGGAAATGAAGATTTCTGTTCTTGCAAAGATTTATAACCTTGGAACCCCTCGGAAAGCACTCTGCCCCTATAAGATCACTAGGAGTCACAATGTACTCAATGGCAGTAGGTTTGGGTTTTACATATAGAAAGTGCCGTCATTCTGAGCTTGGCTTTCTCACCTAATTTCCTACCAAGGGAAGAACCAACCCCTAATACTTCTTCTCACTTGGTTCCCTCTATTCAGATAGAAAAATGGTTCTGTCCAATGGAAGACTGATATGTGCGGGCTCTTCTCTCTTTCTGAAGAGACGATGGGGTCTTGGATACCACCTAAGGTACAGACTCTGGGGGTGGGCTGGATCGAGATGGATGTTTTCAAGATTGTTTATCAAAGTAGAGCATCTCAATGTTAGGTGACAGAGATGGACCTTGTGTTTCATCTCTTTCATACTAGATTGCTCACCACTCTTTCTCAAAGGATTTGTCTGCCCTTCTGCCTCCTTGTAACTTCATGAATGCCCATGGCAGGCAAAGTGTCTTTGCACTGTGATCCAAGTCTGACAATTCATAGCAGAATGACTCACGTTCCACATTTTCCGAGAGCTAATCTGTGCTGCCTGAACCTCTCCCTTCTTTCTACCTTCCAATATAATTTTATTTTATTTGTTAGACAAAAACAATCCAGTCATATGCTTCCATCCCATCCTAGTACAAATAAAGTCAAATCATTTTATGATCTAGTCTCCATGAGGAGTTGATCTAGTGGTAGAGAATAAAGAGGATTGGACTACTCTGTCCCTATAAGATAAATGGCCAAATATATGACCAGGCTAAAAGGAATGGAAAACAAACAAGCTCTAAGAGCAAACAAATCGTAGACAAAGGCTAACGTTCCCGTTGTTAGCTGACATCAAGTCAGTGCTGACTCATCGAGACCATATGGAACGAAACTCCATGCACAACAGAAAGAAACCCTGCCAGTGTTGCACCATCATCACAGTTGTTGTGTTGGAAGCCCCTGTTGCAGCCGCTGGGTCAAATCATCTCCTGGAGCGTCTTCGTATTTTACAATGCCCTTCTACTTTTACTAGGCCCGAGGTTCTTTTCCAGGACCGGTGTCTCTTGATAATGTGTCCAAAGTAAATGAGACTCACCGTCCTTGAGTCTAAGGAGCATTCTGGCTGTACTTCTTCCAAGACAGATTTGTTTGTTCATTTGGCAGTCCATGGAACTTCCAGTACTCTTTCCCAGAACCAGAATTCAGATGCATAGATTCTTTTTTGGCCTTCTATATTCAATGGCCAACTTTCACATACCTACAAGGCAGTTGACAATACCATGACTTGTCTTAGGCTCACCTTAGCCCTCAAATTAACACCCTTCCCCCCTACTGGCTACTAATTTCTGAACTCTACATGATCTGGTGTACTAACTATCTTTCCTAAGAAATCTCTTCTGCCTATTGCTTTTACCTCCTCCTGATCATCCTCATACTTTCTATAATTTAAATTATATTATGTGCTTGTCTGTATATCTACAATTTTCCGAATCTATACATGGGAGAAGAATGGAGCTGTCTACCCCTGTAAAGAGTTACAGTCTTAGAAACTCACAGGGGCAGTTCTACCCTGTTCTATAGAGTAGCTATGAGTGGCATCAGCTTGATGGCAGTTAGTTTGGTTTTTTATTTGATTTATACACCTTCTATTTATATATCATAAGAATATGAAAACTTGTGGGATTATTATCATCTTGTTTCCTTTGTACCATATGGCCAAGTAACATAGCACTCAATAAATACCTAGCAATGATACAATGGTGAAAGTGTCACTGACTGGCATGTTCTTTTAAATATTAGTTTGCACAGAAGTGAAATGTGTGATCCAGGAGAAATAACGTCCTTCCTTAAACATCACATCCCGGAAGCAAACTTAAAAACGGAAAGTCAAGATAAGCTTGTGTACACATTACCTGTAGAAAGGACCAGTGTATTCCCAGGTAATTTAGATATGATGACAATGGATGGAGGTGGGGGACGGGAGTCTGCACTCATACTATCATGTCCCCATCTACTGGGCTTGAGTTGGGTTGGATATTGGATTCATCCATAGAAACAGAATCTGAGGGGAAGGTTTGTCTGTGATTGATTTATGAGATCACTAGAAATACCAGTTGGGGTCGAGGCATGGGCTAGGGAAGGGAAGGAGGAAGCCCATCAGGGCTGCATTTTAAAGCAAGTTAGTGAGGTGGACACCTGAGGTTTAGACACGCAGGTATGGGGAAGATGGTGCTATTCTGATGGCTCGCATTTCCAGCAAAAAATATGACAGGAAGAGAGGGTGGTGTGCCTAAGATTTCATTAGAGAGAGGTCTGAAAATAGTCATGTCCAGGAATGAGAGGGTTATAATGAAAATGTTGTTTTGATTCGATGATATTCTCGATGCATATTTTTTTCCTGAATGATTTTCTGCATTGCATTTTAATAGATGTGAATTTGCCAGGTTTAGCTATCTATGTGTTTTGTTTTTCAAATATATCTGTAACTTATATTATTTTAGACCTTTTCAGTGACCTGGACAAGTGTTGTGGCCAGAAAATAAGGAGTTATGACGTTTCCACGTCAACTCTGAGTGAAGTCTTGATGCAACTAGAAGGGAAATCAATTGTGAGACAAGGTAAATCCCCTCATAGCATTCATAAAAAGCGAATTCCCGTGAGCACCTATCAATTTAGTATTTATAACTTCTTAAGTATCATTTAGAGTAGTCCAGGCATCCTCAAACTACGGCCCGCAGGCCACATGCAGCCCGCCGAGGACATTTATCCGGCCCGCTGGGTGTTTTTGCCCCGTTTTTTTAAAATTTCAAAATAAGATATGTGCAGCGGGCATAGGAATTTGATCATAGTTTTTTTTAAAAACGATGGTCCAGCCCTCCAAAGGGTCTGAGGGACAGTGAACTGGCCCCCTGTTTAAAAAGTTTGAGGACCCCTAAATTTTAGACTAAAGGATGTGATGAAGTCCAAATTGACTCTGCTGATTTCAAGTACCACCAGAAGGAATCTTGGTGCTATTGTGGTTAGCACTGGGCTGTGATCCGCATGGTCTGCAGTTCAAAATCACCAGCTACCCCAAGGGAGAAACAGACTTTCTACTTCTGTAAAGAGTTACAGTCTCAAAAAAGAGAGTTACAGTCTTGGATACTCACAGGGGCAGGTCTACTCTGTCCTGTAGAATCACTCTGAATCAGCACTGACTCCATTGCAGTGAGCATTTTGAGTATCATTGTTTCTAGCAAGCACACAGATGACTTCTTGGAATCTACCAATTTGCTCTTGAGAAACTTTTTGCCTCCACTTTTAGCAGCTTCCTCATACCGCTTAGTGGCTCATTGCCACTAAGGTATTGGGTTTGTGAAAAAGATTTCTATCATTATACCCTGAGCCATAAAATCTGAGCAAATTTTTCTTATGAAAGTTTTTTTAACTTTGTCCACGTACAAAAATTCCACTAAGGTCTTAATGAAAAGAAGGCTGTGATTGCCTCGTATCTAGTTTAATGGTGATACTAATCACAGTTCCCATACATGGTATTCTTGGTCAATAAAACTAGCCATGGGGGCAGAACCTTGGGAGAAACATGAGGGTGTCTCCCTACAAAGACTGACCATCTCGCTGAGTCTGAACCAGCTCCATGGCAGTGACCTGTTTGTTTGTTGTTATTCAATAGATTGGATTCATATCAAAAATTAAGAGAATTCACTAAAGTCTGATCTCATGACAGCCAGCTTTTGAAAAGGGACAGTCCCATATACAACAATATCCGGAGAGATCTCATGGTATCTCCTCCATGAGAATATTCTACTATAATTTCCCACATATCTGTTTATTGAATTACTTTCCTACAATAAACTCGTCAACAACTGTCACTTGCACCCTTTTACAGTCAAGAGAATCTGATCTAAGGGTGCTTATGTGATTTACCTCAAATAAAAGGCTAATAAGTCATCTATATAGGATTCCTGTGCAGGTACAATGGTGCCAGACCTGGGAACCCTTCACTGATGCTTCTAAATCACCGATGCTTTGAGATATTTGAGATTTCTGCGTCATGGGCCAATAGGACTCTTTTAACGCCCAAAGACCCCCACTTGCTTGTGTAATCTGCTAATGAACATTGTTGGGGAGTGACATTTAAAGTGAGACCCATGTTTTCATAGCAGACCTTCAGGCATTTATTACTGACCTTTTTGAAGGAAAGCATATGTGTTAGTAGACTAGAGAAACAAAGCCATGGACACACCGATGGGTATAAGAAAGAGATTTGTATACAAGAGGAATTGAACATTCAGAAAACATCCCAACGCAGTCCCGTCCAAGGCCATAAATCTGATATTAGCCCATATGTCTGATACCAATCTAGAAAGTCCTCTTCGGACTTACGAAACACATGCAATGATGCCGAATATAGGACGATCACAAGCCAGTGGGTAGAAAGTCTTTGGGCCCAGTGGTGTTGTAAGCATATCAGTGCTGGCAGAGGTCTCTCTGTGGCTTCTCCGGCTTCCAAGGTCTGGTTGCATCCATGTGGCTTGTCTTCTGCAATGTCTCCCAGGGAGT